CTATTCTTTAATAGTCAAACCCTTCTTCCTTCCCACATATCATTATTCAACCCACTACCGTATGGTATGTTTTCTTCTATTCTGTAATTTAAGGCTTCCCGTCATTATACTTGAAGAAGCTTCTTATAGATAGCATAGCTAGCCTGTGTTTTCATATCAACTCTGCTTTTACTTGGTGGAACCTCTCCTCTTCTTCTATGAAGCCAATATCAGGAATGCTGGATTTTTGTCATTGTTGTTGTTATTGTCCCCAAGGTCCCTGAGCCTCCCTGCCTCCTTTTCTCTCTCGTATTCTATCTTCAGGTTAACTGTCTTGTCATAACCATTCTGCTTAATGAGCCTTTCCAGTTTGTTCTGTGGTTCAGCTATCCCAGTTTTTAGTTTTATAATTTCCAACTGGTTCCTTTTATATTTACTAGTTATTTGCTAAGGCTTTCTATTATTTTTATTTGTTTCAAGGATATTTGTAGCTGCTTTTTGAAGCACGTTTATAATGGCTGCTTTGAATCCATGTTAGATAGTTCCAACATCTGGTCCAACTTGATTGTGATGTTTCTCTTCTTGGGATAGTGATTTTCGTTGGTATTGTGGCACTGTGACTATTACATTAAGAGAACCTGGTCCTGTTTACATCCATTTTAACATGCAGTCAGCTTCTTCTGATTTGGCAAGTTCTGACCTATTTCTGTATGTAGTGATTCCAACGGCAGCTACGTTTTCAGGATCTTTTTGGTGTCACCTCCTGCGGTAGGAGGAACTTTTCTTGGCCAGGCTGCCTGGTTTCTTAGGCAGAGGATGGGATACCCACATGCCCTTGGGATAGAGTTGTACCACTTCAGACTGTTGTTTTGTATGGGGCCCTTGCTCATCATATCTGAACTGATTCTGGTGGTATTTCTTGGTGGAAGAAGGGGGTCTTTAGTCTAGAGACAAGAATCCTTCCTTGGAGTCAGGTCCACCCTGTGTTTGCCTGCAGGTGGCTACCAAGATACCTGGCAGTCTGACCTGTGAAAAGTGGAACTTTTCAGATAGGCCACTTTTAATTAAATTTTAAAGATAACCAGAACCTAAAAATACTATGGAAAAAGATGTATTTTCAGACTATAAAATGCTAATAAATTTCCACAAAAATATTATTCTTTAATGTGACATTTCATTAAGGTTGATAGAAAAATATAAGGAGAAAAAAATACATCATAGCAATTATACCAGCTATTTATGGAAAATAAATGAGTACTCACTTGAATAAGATTTTCAATTTTTTGCAAATCCTTTCTTACATCTTCCCAGTTAGCCTCTGTTTTAGGAATACCTGCACTAATACAGCTGGGGAG